TATAAATGGTATGGAATTTTTTTTTAAATATTATTTCCAAATGTATGTAGGTCTACTCTTTTGCTGTTATAAAGATATTTTAACACAAAAAACGCGTGCATGTTTTTAAAGTCTGTAATTAATTACAATTTATCACATCTAGATCTTAACGAGCGCAGCCTGCCTGTCTTATGGTTTTCACGTGGCTTGTGTTTTATAATCTCAGGTAAATCCAATAGCTTAATAGGGAGGTTTACCGCATACAACTGTCAAACTATATATCTGGGGTTTATTTCATTTCCTTTTGATTCGTTCGCGTGTTTTGAGAAACTTTAGAACAAACGAAGGGGGAAAAATGTTGTAATAATCTGCCCCTGTCAGTCACTAGCAACAAGAGCCCTAACAACGAAACGTCTCGAATTATACACCTCCGCATGTCCACCTACGCACAAACATTTCATTCCAGACATGCGTTCTACGTCGCCCAACCTTACAGAAACCCAACAAAAAAACACATTACTTTGTGTACATTAGGCAATTGCCCATTACATTCCACATTGTTCCTCTGTTAGTTTTTCTTTCCTTTATTCATCTCTTAGTTATTTTTAAAGATACTTGATTTACAAAAAGCTTTTAGGAAATTATTATGATGATTATAAAATTGAACATTTATGAAAATCATTTCAAGAGAGCAGAGGATTAATGCGAGCGTGGATTATTGCCAGCGTGGATTAATACGCCGGAGTCTTCAACTATGGCTCAACTTGGATCTCCATACAATGCGAGCGCTCATCATTTTGATACGTTGCTAATCTTCTTATGAATAGGATTATAAATTACAATACTATATGGGTCAGCTGTTCGAGCGAGGATTTTTAGTAAAAAAAAAAAAGAAAATACACATCTGTAAATATTTTAGAATGTTTTCATAGTTTTAAAAAACAAATTATTGTTTTAAGTAAACCTGCTGGTTGTCGATGCTGTGGGTTTTTTTATTTAAAATAATACAAGTTACTTTTCCAACAGTTTAAAAAAAAGTTACAATATAAACTCAAAGTTCAGTTGCAACTAAATAAACTCAGGTTAATAGATACGAAAGTCTAACTATCAGATTGTTTTTTTTTCTCTCATCGCGTCAGTGTACCACAATCAGGATGCACCCCCTCCCCTCCCACCTATTGTTTAGCTCTCAGCAATTACAAGCACAAAGAAACTGCACCGGACGCATTAGTTACGTGTGGATCGTTTGCCTGCGGCTCTTTCGGTGGTTGATTAAATATACATCGGTAAATAAAAAAACAGACACGGAGCTGTTCGGCGAAACTATTCAACTTTTCGCTCTCCACAGAATTGCAAACCGTAAACATGTATGTAATCGTAGACAGCTTTAAAAAAAATGCAATTTGGGTAAGGTTCTGTAGTGTGGGCTTTGGGTAGGACTGCACAAAATCCTGCTTATTTTCTTAAAGAATTTTGTCAATCTACAATGAAGTGAAAATCCATTTTTAAATATTTACATTTTTAATATTGAATCTGTAATATTTGAATCAGCAATGTTAAGACAAGGAGGACATTGAGACACTTGAAACTGACCATTTTCTTAATGAACTTTAGACAACCCAGCTGTAATGTTTTATCATTATGGACATGCTACAGTTTTACAAAAGATCTCATGCATAACCATTTCAACCAAGTTATCATTTTAGTGTAGGCTACTTTTCTATATAAATCATTAAACAAAGAGTAACTTCAAATACATGTACTGTGAATATAGACCTTTCTAGGTTTACTCACAGAATGAATTAGCTGATTAAGCTCACCGTAATTTACACAGCACAAGCTCTCACTGCACACGCTTCTGCAGACTTTTCCTACCCTTGCGATATATATATATATATATATATATATATATATATATATATATATATATATATATATGTATATATATATATATATATGTATATATATATATATATATATATATATATATATATATATATATATATATATATATATATTATATTACCAATCATAAATTTTAAATTTACGACCTAGTGTATTGAGGTTTAGTCGATCAATGATTGTAAGAATTAAACACGTGCTTTGTTTTCCTTGGAATGAATCAACCCGTTAAACCCGGAAGTGACGTCGGCACTGCATTCTGTGACCAATTAAAACTGCTTTAATTAAGCTATTACCGCTAATTTCTCCAGTTGCGCTTGCTAGGAAACAGTAGCGTGATTTTCCACATATTAACCACTAATTACTTCCCATGAAAAGCCACGTCGAACGAGTCAGACATTTAACAAGGTCGCAAGAACCCACTGATCCTGACTCGGTCAAGCTCGGCAAACAAATGCAACACAAAAATATACAACGTTGTCCTGATTACAATCGGCCATGGGGAGAAATAAATCCAATTATTTCGTGTCTATAGAATTCAAGTTTTTAATCCCTTCGCGAAATCTTTTCGATTAACCTCATGTTTAAAATCCATTAAACTATTTGAGTTCGTTAACTC